CGGGTTTTTTATGGTCTCCATGACTAAGTGGTATGTTTCCCTATTTTTCTCTGTTTAATAGAGTTGCATAATCTGCCTAAAATGATTTATTATTTCTATTGAAAGTGCCTTCGCCTATGAGCGGTAGGTCTCGGGTTCGAGACTTGGGAGCAGCCTCTCCATAAATGGGGGTTAAGGCTAGCCGACATTCACCTCTCCCAGACCCTGCGTAAAGCGGGAGCCTTATGCACTGGGTACGACCTTTTATTGAAATTTCTCTAAACGGGCACAGTTCTTCCCCTAAGCTTGCCTACAATTGTTTAACTAGGGCTGCGATCCAGATAATGTGATTGGTTCACTCCTAAAACTGCTTTTCTGAATTAATCAACCAGAATCGGATATTTCTACTAACAAGAGCGAAGCCGGATTAGGTGTAGAGGCTAAGAAATATATGGTAGAAGAAACTGCTTTTGAGGCACTTACGTAGGAGAATGGCAGAGTCATGCAAAACTTTTACATAAGGTTTCAGGGAGTTGGCTGAGCATTGGTTTAATATTTTTTGGTTTCACTTGTTTTAGTATAGTTGCATTTGTAGGTGTCATCTGTTCGTTCCTGAGTATCTTATTGCCGTTAAAAATCTGTTTTGCAGGGTACCTACACCAGTGGCTATTGTAATAAGTGCAGCTGTATTTGCACTTGCACATCTCACTCCTGGAGAGTTCCCCCAGCTGTTTGTGCTAGGTAACACGTCTACCAAAGAAATCAAATCAAAATTGTGCATCACCTCCAACGCACATTAATGTGGTTTAGGATTCATTGAACACATTTTATCTCATCTGCTTATGGTCTGTATAGGCACTGCTCTGGGATTGTCGTATGCTCAAACTCGCAACCTTGTAACCCCCATCACAATACATGCTCTCTGGAACTCAGGAGTGATCTTGCTTCTGACCTTCCTTCAGGTAAACATGATTTCTGAGTATCTAAGTTATGATTATGATTGAGTACTCCGAATCCCAAAGCTGAAGAGCAAGCATCGAGTACTCTCTCAATGCTAAAATCAATCTTTCTTCTTGTTTATGCGACAGCTACAAGGGTACGATATCAAGGAACTGTTGCAGACAACCTGATAGGATGGTAGTTGAGTATCTTTTACGTTGATGGTAATCGACGCAGAGCATTGCTGCAACGGGTGCTTAAAGTTACAAGACGGCCTGCAAGGCGTACTTAAAAGTCGCCAAAAATCAGGATCTCTAATCTTTTGGTGGTTGTTTCATATCAATAGGCATAAGTTAATATGTATTAGAGGCATTAAACCTACTTCCGACTCTAACAGTGGAGACACAGAACGTGCAAACAATGTATTGTGGCATCGCTTTCCTGTACCATATAGTTACTTCATTGTGAATTTTTTTATTTAAAATTGAATATAAACACCACCTGACGAAAACTGATCGCACGATATATGAACGAATGTGGTTGGAGGATCTTCGAGATCCTCACAAAGAGGATCTGGCGAGGATCCTCTCTCTTTGTTTGACTAAGTTCTCTTTTTTGGTTTGGTTGTTGACTAAGTTCCAAGGAAGAAGTATAAACAAGAGAGAAAATAAAGAAAGAAAATATTATGATATAAGCAGTATTGTTGTATTCCAAGATGTTATTGCCCCGTGTTTCTTACTAGTTAGGTGGCATAACATTACTCGATTGAAGAAGGTTGTGCAACAGTTGTGGGCACATTGGTTAGAGCATATATGTTCATCCTATACATTCGAATTTGAATCTCCTTCCTCTCTGTTTATATTAGTTTAAGTAGAGTATCGTATCAATTCTAAACAGAATGTAAGATGCTTAGTCATGAATTCCGGTTTAACTACTTATCTCCCCTTAACGAAGTAAGGGGGTCGAGTCATCTTCACCAGTTTACAAAGTGACACGGATTAACGGAATTTAGTCAAAGATTAGAATTTAAGTATTGTAATTATGAGATACATAGATTTTTGTACAAACGATATTAAACAAGAAGGATTCAAACACATAATATCGAGAGCGAGGATTAAACTCCTTAGCCATTTGAGCTGTAAGTTTCATAGTGAGTCGTTTATTAGGAATATTAGGCAGCAAATTGTCGCCAGTGAGTGCGGGTGGTCGGTGGCCCTTTGCAAATTTACATGGTTGAGTTAATGAATGAGTGAAATCGAAGGGTTAATAATGTTTCACGTAGAAAGAGGTGAATTATTCAATTATGTGTAGATGCTTGAGCTTGAAGAGTTTGACCTTTTTTAAAAACTTTGGTTGCACGCTTGGGGAAGTAAATTCTATGTCAATCAACAGACAAAAAGGGTTCCAACCGAGGGTAAGAAATCTGGGGAGTTTCACTGACTTTGGAGTCCCCAAGTTTGGCATTTGACTCAGTGAAAACCCGAATTTTTCACCATTAAATACTTAATTACTACAGTACTTCACTTGCCAGCTAGTTGCTAGTTGTTGAGAGATTTTTTCAGTATGTCGGGAACACGGCTCATTATACTAGTGTAAACACAACACACTTAGTATATATTAGGCCGTACTCTCGGCACACTGAAAAGTTCTCCTAGTTGCTATCCAACCAGCACAGCACAGCAGACCTTGTTTGTAAGCAAACTCAAGTGCTGTATGACAAATTGGACTTTGAAACCAATCAATCAGTTTAATCAACAAAATGGAGAGAGGATTTCAAACTGTAATTTAACTTTTCATTGTTGTTGAAAGTTGAAACCTTTTTGGTTTTACAAAAGGCAAGGAATTGAGGAATCCCATACTGGGGTTTTTCCAAAGTCTACAAAATCAGAGAAACTTTAGCTCATCTTGAAAGACTTGGATGTACCTAAAAACCCCATAGCTCTCTTTCCCCACCCATATACTTATTTATGACACAACAAGCGATCATAAGGTATGATTTACATGAAATACTTAGCAAGTTAATAATATTTTTGCTCAATACTCTCAAGTAATGGTGATGTTTACAGTCATATTTATCACCGTTAGATGAGTTTAAATTATGAGATTATATGAGTTTAAATTTTGAGATTTGTATTCTGGTCTAGTGACACTTTGTTTTGACTTTGTTGATGAAGTTCTTGGGTTTGCATAGGCATCAATTGCTGAATTAAATAAATATATATATATATATATATATATATATATATATAAAAGACATTGTGAAAATGATAAAACACACAAATATAATAAACAAGTTGGCGGCTTACACTAATAACATGACTTGAATGTGACATATATTTTTTTTCAGTCTTTCATCATATATAGTAATAAAAATAACAAAAATGTTTTGCCAGTTGACCAGTAACTTGTTAGCTTTGTGTTACATTTAAAGTCCAAAAGGTTTTGGATTCAATTGGCTTCGTAAATCATCGAAAATAACAAACGTTTAACCCTAAAACCAAGTATTTTTCATCATGTATAATCATGCTGTATAGTGACAAAAACCTCCAAAAGCATTACTGCACAGAAATTTGGAAAATAAAAAATAGAGAGTAACTCGGGTGCACGGTTGTATATATTAACCATCAACAATGAAATTTCCAGATAAGATGAGTGAATACTAATTAACTAACTTAATTAAGCCTCTGACTCTGAGTTTCTAAGAGATAGGTGGATTCCCTGAAAGGTCAAACACATAATTTCAGCATATCTACATGTAAAACGTAACTTGAATTCTATTCAGGGTGGGCAGGTGGTCCATATTAGCTATATTTGGAGGGTAACTATATAGCCAGCTGATTAACCTGCAGATGAGTGAGATAATGACAAATTCTTAAACCTCTTAAACCTGACAAAGTCAGTGGAATAGAAGCTCTGGGAATGGAATAGAAACGGGATTTTCGGATTTTGAGAAACTAATATCTCTTATAATAATCGGATCCTAATAAGTCCTCTCATAGGAATCCAAATGGTAAAACATATTGATATTGTTTGAGCTTTGTCTTGGAAGTTGGCCCCGGTCCACGTTTCCAAACACCAATTCAAACATCTCAAATTTAAATACTGGTACTTGCTTGGAAGTTTGCTTTGTCTTGATTTGTAGTGGATAGACCAAAACTTAGTTGATGACAATAAACAATATTTGTAGATGAATTAGTGAAGAAATACTAGCACTTGTTGCTTGGAAGTTTGCTCTCGCAAGTTCGAATCATTCTTCTAATAGTTTAGATGATGATCAGGGTTAATCAAGTTCTTTAAAACAATATGCTCTACGTTTACATTCAAGTTAGAATTCTCATTCACATAGTTTAGAAGAATTAATGAAGAAATTTTTTGCATTAAAAATTTTATATAGTTGAGAAATAATTAAAAAAGTGGATTCATAATCCCTATAAGCTGGTGGTGATGATAGATGGTGGGTTTCCTTGAGATTCCACTACTTGGAGTAATACAAAACCCTAAATTGGGTTCATTAAGGTCCAATTGAGAAATAAGGCTCTTCTTGTGGAAATCTATTTTCTTGACTTCAGCTTTAATTTTTCTTGGTAGCTGTAATCTAATTTGATTTTTATTTCAATATTTAAGAGCTACCTTCTAAATTAATTTCAATTTGTACTACTGTGTGACTGTGTGAAGTAGCCAACGTGATCCTCGCAAAACACACACACTCTCATATATATTAAGTCGCCAGAAAAGGCGGCTGATCCTTCGGAGGCAGACCCCTTCTCAGGAAGCATATATTTTCCCTACAAATTAAGTCCACACCCTTACCGCCATCTTAAACTTGTTGCTTTCACTCCACCTCTTCACTTCTTCTTCGTTCTCGTTCTGTGTGCTTATGTTTTCTAGCTCCAGCTAGCTAGGGTTTGCTTCTTACTGCAGTTTCAGGTGTTAAAAGAGAGTACTGTGATTAATATTAACATTAATTTCTTCAGTTTCTCACTGTTGGGTGGTGATTAAAGTTTTCACTTATCTTGTTCCCTTAAAGAGCTACTGAGAAGCAGGATATACATCTACCAGTACTTTAGGGTTTTGTAGAAAAAATGGATGAGAGAAGTGATAATATCGGAGGAGAAAAAATGGATGAAGTGATCCTTCCAGGGTTTCGTTTTCATCCAACTGATGAGGAGCTGGTAGGGTTTTACCTCAAGAGGAAGGTTCAGCAGAGGCCTCTCTCTATCGAGCTTATCAAGCAACTTGACATCTATAAATTTGACCCCTGGGATCTTCCAAGTAATTTTCAAAACTTAATCTTACATATTCATGCGTGACTAAAAAAACTTCCATTTCTGAGTAATATATCGATCTCTGAGTTTCTTTTAGTCAAAATATATATAGTAGCTTTTTCTCTCTTGGGTGTTCTTTTATATATGCCGACTAAGAATGTTTTTAATTACTACTATTACGTTGAAGTTTTGAGCCTAAGATCTCAATATTATATGTGTGTGTGTGTATTCTGTGTTCGAAGGTTAGGGTTTCACTTCATAAATTGTTCAGAATATACAAGGGCTTTAGTTGCATATATTTTGAACAGCTTAGCTATAAAGTTTTTAATTAATTTTTTGGATGATATGTGCAGAGTTGGCAGCGTCTGGGGAGAAGGAATGGTATTTCTACTGTCCAAGGGATAGAAAATATAGGAACAGCACAAGGCCAAACCGGGTTACCGGAGCCGGTTTCTGGAAAGCTACGGGAACCGACCGGCCCATCTACTCATCCGAAGGTGCGTGTAGTTCCTCCAAGTGCATTGGGTTGAAGAAGTCACTTGTTTTCTACAAAGGTAGAGCTGCCAAAGGGGTGAAAACTGACTGGATGATGCATGAGTTTCGCTTACCTTCTCTCACAGATTCACTCCCACCAAAGAGATCATCATCGTTCATGGACAAAACCATTCCTGCAAATGTATGTTAAGAAAAACTATTTTTCTATTTGTGCATATAATGCATGATTTTTAGTAAATATCTAATTGTTATGTTGTTAGATTGTCAATTTGTCACGTGTTAGGTTAGTTGACAAAAACGATGCTTATATACACACACACACGTATTACAGCCGGACTAATTAAAATGTACTATTGTTGCAGGATTCATGGGCAATATGCAGGATATTCAAGAAAACAAATTCAAGTAATGCTCACCAAAGAGCCCTTTCTCATCACTCTTGGGTGTCTGCCTTGCCTGAAACAAACACATTTGGTGATCATATGCTAGGCTCCAAAGGTGCACACAATGCTACTCATCATCATCATGAGTTTAGTTCAGAGAGCATGTCAATACTGACATCGAAAATCAACTTCTCCAACAACAATGACATAAAAATGTCATCCACAACAAGCAATATATCCCCTCTAGATATTTATTCCAACTCCTACAAACCCATAAACCCCTTGATGATGGGTTGCAATGTCAAACTACCCCATCAGTACTTTCCCATTTCCTCCAACTTTTCTAACAGATCATCAGACTACTTTTCTAACCCTAGCTTCGCATTTTCATCACCTTCAGAAACTTCATCCGGACCAGCGGCAAAATGCACGGTGGATGTGTCCTCCTTGTTGTTAAACATGTCATCCTCAATGCTCGGAGATTACAATGGCAGCAACAACGTCAAGGGCGCCTCTGGAGAAAGTACTAATTTTGACTTTAGTATTACTAATGGAGGCTTTTCATCGATGGCATTGCCACATCATCATGAGGTCATGCAAGGAAATAACAATAACCTTGGCAATGGCCATGACAGTATAACTGGGTTGATTAAGAACATTCAAAATGTGAACTCGAACGTGATAGAAGAAGGAGACGATCAACAGTGGGAGACTAGTGGGAGATCAAATATTGGGTTTCCATTGATGAGTAGTTTGCCTTTGCCTATGAATGTAGGAGGAGGGGATGCATGGAAGTCGAGTTTGACGTGGGAGTCTTCTCCATGTCCGAGTGAAATGTCCACCACCAGATGCTACACTTAAACTTGTCACATAATTAGAAACATTGCTTAATCACTAATGTTTCTTAGCTTTTTAGTTTTGCTAGCTATAGGCTATAGCTCATCAGTTAATTAAGTTCGTGTTTGTAGAATTCTTTTTGCTAATTAAACTCCAAAGTGTATGATTAAGGAAATCGGATGCTGATTAGGTTTGAAATGTTTGAGGTCCTCTATCAAATTGCAGATCGTCAATAACTCAATATTAATGCTCACTCACAAACACATGTATGACAAGGGCACGCACGCATTCACAAACTTTGTGACAAGAAATATCAAATTAACTAAGTCAAGTCCTCGGATTCGAGAGACCTAAAATACATTAATCAACATTTTTATTTTTGTGTTCAAAACAAAAAGGTGGATGCATGTTGGATAAATGCTTTATATTATACTAAGCATTGGATCGTTTCCTTCATGCTTCAAGCATGATATGTAGGATTTGCAATGATCACAAGCAGGTGAGACCGTGAGAACATCACCTGCTTAGAGTAAATATATTAATGCAAAGCTTCGGTTTTGTCACTTAGTACTACGTTGTAGTGTTTTTTTTTTTTTTTACTTGTAAATAAGAAATCTTTAATTTGAATCACGTGGCCAGCAAGTACTACGTTGTAGTGTTTTTTTTTTTTTACTTGTAAATAAGAAATCTTTAATTTGAATCACGTGGCCAGCAAGTTTGATATTAATTTATTCTTCTCCCACTGTTTTTACTTCTCTTTCGTCATTACCGTTTTGGTACATGGGGGAGACAAGGAACAATAGAGTAGGTTCTTCCGATTGGATCCGGAACCAAAATAATCCATAGGAATTGTTAGACTATGGAGAGAGCAATATGTGAAGCTGAGATAGGCCCATTAAGATATCAGTCTAAGCTCAAAACTTTCAGCCCAAGATTTCTAAGCCCAACTTCTTTTTTCTTCTTTTTTTTTTATGACAATCCAAGATAATTTTACCAAGCTTTTGTCGGAAAATTCTTCCTGCTACTTAGCATTAAATGTTATTAAATGTTACGATCACTGGATGACCTAAATTTGTTTGATTAATACTTTTATTGTGGTCCTGTGAATGCAGATCATTCAATACTCGTAACATGAAAGTGGAACCCACTTATTTCATCCAATTGTATCATACAAGACATAAAAAAGCGAAAATTTTCTCAAACTCCTCCAAGTTGCAAACTTGCAAGAGAGAGAGGGAACAAGACTCAGCTGCTGCTATCCTACAATCATGTCCACAGTAAGGTTCATGCTCTTATTCATCAAAGCAACCCGATCACCGAGTCACTCGTCATCCTCTTGAGTAGTGATGGGACCTGGAGCAAAATGCAAACTTCCAACCTGCTGCTCTCTCTGTTGTTGCTCTTTCTTTTTCTGCATGATCACGATCTCTCGTACTCATACCTAACCACTTCAATTAGTCGGGCCTGTGCAGGACGTCCTATCTTAAGAAAGATAGAACGTGTTAAGAAAACATGAGTTCTTCAACAAACATAGAACATATGCTGTTATGAGGTCCAAAGGAAAAGACAGAGAAGGCCATTGAAGACGAGTGAATTGTCTAAGGAGAATGACCACAAAGACCATCCTCTGATCAAGGAGAAGCTCCCGAAAAGAACCTGGCATTATTTTCATGGGTGAATGACCTCAAAGACTATCCTCTGATCAAGGAGACCATCCCGCCTCACGACAAATTAATCGCCAGGCTGAAGCTTTTCTCGGCATGACCTTGTGTGATTGAGGAAGACGGAGATAAAAACTACAAAGAAACATGTATAGTTCACGCCGTTCACAAGCAGAAACATGCAAAAGCCGTGACAAGCAATCAAAAAAAGGAAAGGGTTATGAAGTAATCCAAATATAACTAAAATCGCAAATGAAGCTAGTAAATCTGACATTACACAAATAATTCAAAAACGTACATGTTACCAATACAAAACAGGAAATTCCATGGTGGGATGGATTTCCGAACAAAATGAAGCACTCAACATCATAACTTAAACCATCCACAACAAAATGTAAAAGTACAGATTGGAACACCTTGAATTACTTCCCGCACCATAAGCCAAAATCAACGTAGTCTGTAGAAACTACTTAAAATTCGGTTGATTTCACTTGGTCTTTGCAGCTTGCTTTTCCTTTGTCTTTTGAATCTTCAACACCTTTTTCACGATCTTTTGTTCCTCCACCAGAAAGGCCCTGATGATCCTGCAAACCAATAGAAAGCAAGTTGTCTAAACCCCATTGGTGCAACACAACATGAAAAGAAGATGGAAAAAAAATGTTGCAATGCAATCTACAAACCTTTCCTTGACTGCACCTCCAGACAACACACCTCCATAAGCACGGTTAACAGTCCTCCGATTCCTAGATAATCTGGACCTCTTATACTCGGTAGGCCTCAAGTGAGGGATCTACAAACAAACACAACAATGTATCGCCACTCAAATGAAACTTAAAGTAACTGGACTACGCAATCATTACAATGATTATACACAATATTGTATTGCGGGGAGAATGTATAAGTTCCAAGTGTACTTTTTACTTCGAAAAAAGGTTAAATTCACAAGAACTTGAACCGATCCATCTCCATACGGAATGGTGAATCGAGCCTGATAATTCAAGCACAAATTAAATGAATCCAATTACACGAGGGCAGATCAACAACAGTTTCATAGACAGCCGCTCCAACTCTAATGCATAACCTATCAATGAACTGGCATTTTGGTTGCGGTATATCGTAAAGTAAGAGAACTAAACTTTCACTCATTCGCAAATGCAAAACACTGGGAACCCATGAAAATACTACGGATACGAAACTAACATATGAAACAAAGACAACATTTCGAATTGAAATAAGGCAAATACATACCCCTTGAATTCTCTTGCCAGTAACAGGGCACTTGGGGCCACTTGCCCTCTTCTTAGTGGTCTGGTACACTAGCTTCCCTCCTGTTCACCCAAAACAACCATCAATAACAGCACCAGCAATTCAATTAACACAAATTAAACAAAACCCACAAATCAAAATACCATCTTAATCTCAAAATACCACCTTAATCCAACATTTCATATGCAAAAAAAACACAAATTTGACCCAAAAACGAAGCAAACAAGAGTTAGGGTTTGAAAGCAATAATATTTAGTTTACCAGGGGTTTTGACGATCCTGTGCTGGTTGGATTTGGTGGCGTAGCTGTGCCGGGCGCGATATGTGAGACGCTGCACCATTTTTGCTATCGAGTTTCAGCTGTCCCTAAGTCTAGGGTTTTGTCGAAGATGAAGCCTTTATATGAACAATAATTTAATGGATTTGCTTATGATCGGAGGGTTGTAATTAGATCTTTACTTCATTGCCACCAATAATTTGATACGGTGTCGGTTTAATCAAACTGTTTAGGCCCACTGTCGTAAGTTATTGGGCTGGTTAGGCCCACTAAACTCTCCCGGACATTGTTTTGGATCAAGTAGCCATCTTGTGCAGATGTTGCCTAACCATCAACCTAATCTTAGTTAGGTTGATTATAATAGTATTTATCCCCTTTGAATTAAGTTCGAATCTCTTTCTTCGTAAAATATCATTTTTATCGAAATCATTGTAACAAGAAGTTGCACTGCAAGGTACCATTTTGTCCAAGGCATATTGGTCTTGATTTTTCAAGGGAAGCTCTTGAACTTCAATTTTATGAACGACAATTGTTTTATTAAACAAAAATATAACATGTAGTATTTTGCATGCGATCTCCTAATAGTCAAGTAGTTTGTAATGTCTACCACCAAGAGGTGATTCAGTGGTTGAGGACGAATTTCAGATCCGTATTTCACACAACATGTCCAAGATTCGGTTCATTGTGCTTGTGGATCACACGATAGTGATTATCGGAAACTGAAATGTCTCTATAATTCTTTTTGACCCTGAAATAGTGCGTTATCGTGGCGAAGGCATCAACTGTTTCTCTTTTTAGAAAGAAAACTAGTAGCGTATGTTGTCTTATACATTAAGAGAGATTCATAGATATTTCCAACTATATACTTGATTAGTCATCTAACGAGTGAGATGACCTAGTTTTCTCCGGTGCTTGACCAAATGCAACCCTTGTTGGCTTTCTACAAAGCAACAAAGACCTAGACCGACCCTTCCATTTTTCCTCTTAAGCATACGAACATGCAAGGAAAATACAAAGTTAGCTTTGTCTTCTCTAATATTCCAATTTCCAATGGCCAACATCGGGTGATTGATCACTCGTGGTGCACATTTCTTCTTTCCGTCTTAAACTAAAATTCGTAAAGCATATGAGTGAAAGGTTAGGAGACGAAGAATACCTCCATGTCAACGTCACCATTCACAACCCTACCATGCCACACTGATATGGGCAGGTTTGATTTTTCTAATTGACTTTGCACCATTTGTGCATCACGTTACGGAGACGGCAGCTTTACTAAATTATAAATAGGGATTTACGTTTCACTCGTTGGTGGTTAAAAACGCGTGTATGTCGCATTCATTGGGTTAAAATTATGTTTTTGAACCACACGAAGTTGTGTGTTGGTGCGGTAGGAGTCTAGTTTTCAATGTTTATGTCTCATTTTTACATGCACGCGTGTGCATTGTGAGTAGGTTAGACAAAGTGTCTAGACTGTGATTATTATGATTAAGCATATAAAGACTAAATGACATGCTATTCGCTTGATAATGACGCTCACGGCCGGCAAAACCATCCATTTTGCAGAGGAAACGGAATTATTCAATTATTTATGATATTGAAATTGAACTAAAACTAATCGAAAGACGAATATATGGCTCATATAGAAGTGTTTTTAGAATGATTGAAGCCACTTTTGATGAAATGTTTTTTAAATCAATTCTTAGTAAACGCAAGTGAATCTTGAAAAAAAAAACACTTGAAATGATTTTTAGAAGAAACAAATTACTGATGCTTCTTCCATAAAACATTTCAAGTGTTTTTTAATTAAAAAATATTTTCTCTAAAAATGATTTTAATCATTTAAAAACACTTATGAAACAAGTCCATATTCTATAATCTAGTTTACATAGATGAGATATGTCACATCCCGGCCCAGGTCCCCACTACATCCCGGGTTCGACTCCACCGTAACACGATATTGTCCGCTT